TTGTTAAAGATTAAAACATTGATTCTCCACATTTTGGGCTTGTGACAAAGTAAATTGTGAGTTGTAAGTAAGATTAGTTTTTAACAGTTTAAGAAAGATTGCCCCTCTAAACGTCTAAATGGTAATTTCAATAAAAACAGAGCAGAGATTAGAGAAAAGATCAGAGAAAAGAAAAATTATGTAAATTAATGTAAATTAGCTTTTTCTTCTTTCCTCCCCATTAATCATCTCACAACCCCTCAGATATATCCTGTGACGGGGGACTGACCCCCTAGGTCGCAAACAGTACATATAGTAGTTAGATTTAACTTCACCTTGACCAGCTATAAAATCATAATGCTGCTGTTGATGAATTAGTATATACAATATTATAGCTAAGGGCCATTTGTCTGCAGAATTAATACTTTTTATACTTTCAGTATATTTTTCTGCAAATACTTAGTTTTTGAATATTTTTCCACGTTGTTGTATTGGTAGCCTACCTATGCTTAAGTAAAGGATATGAATACTTTTTCCACCACTGTAGATATAGGCCTACTGTATGTCTGTTATGTGTGCATATTTAATGTTTTACTTTTTTACTCAATGGACCTACAGTTGCCTTAAAAACTCACATTTTATGCTTCATTTTGCATTCTAAGTTTTTGTTGCATTTAATCTCTCTTCTCCTTCTCTATGAGGTGTTTATATTATTTTGTCCACCCTCTTCTCTCCTACATGACAACATCTGACTTATTGGTCCTTTGGAATGAGAATGCAGATAACAAAGTCTGTTAACAGTCGTAACAGGTTGCTTGTTTCCCTTAAGGCCACAACAGGGTTAACAGTCATTGGCACACTTTTGCTTTGAATCGTTTACCTATCTGCAGGCCGAGCGTGTCAAGCTCAAACATTCAAACCACCCAATCAGAGGACGCCTTTAGAGAACACGGCAGAGTGTGAACCTTGCCTATACACGCTGTATGACCTGGACTCAGTTTCTTAATATTGCTGAAGGTAGGAAGAGGAGGTGGTTAAGCTCATTAGTGTTTAAGCACAATTACACACAGAAGTGAAGAAATCCCTCTGGTTGACACCAGAGGATGTGTGATTCAGCTGTTCAGCATTTCTTCCTCCATCATATTTTAAAAGTGACGAGCAGCTGTAAAAGCCAATGGAAGAAGACGTGTTGATTTACTGATCTGTGTTTGTGTGTGTGTGTGCATGTTAGACACTGAGGGACAGTAAGTGTGCTAAGAGTCACAGCAACTTGAACATTCCTCTGTGATTATACCACTGCTTTCCAAGTTACATACTTGACTAATGTACTCCATAAATTGGATTCACTCCCCGTCTATGCAGCCCTTCCTTCATTCACAAACGCGCGCACACACACACA